TAATGCCACATGATGCTTTTGACTCATTTTTTAAAATATATTTTTTATTGATTTTCAGAGAGGAAGGGAGAGGAAGAGAAAAAAACATAGAGCATCGGCCTGCGGATTCAAGGGTCCCAGGTTCGATTTCGGTCAAGGGCATGTACCTTGTATGCGGGGACATCCCCAGTGGGGGGTGTGCAGGAGGCAGCTGATCGATGTTTCTCTCTCATCGATGTTTCTAGCTCTCTATCCCTCCCTCTCCCTTCTTCTCTGTAAAAAATTAATAAAATATATATATTTTTTTTTTTTAAAAAAAAAGACTTAGACTTCAACTGGACCTTCAAGAATTTTCCTGTCTTAAGCCTCCAGCAAGTCATTTCATCACCACAATCCTATCTCCAGTGGAACTTCAAAGAGAAATACATAGAAGCCACTCTGGTGGGCAGCTGTGGAGATAATCACTCTAAGCATCTTCCACATATCTAAGAATAAAAAGGCTGACTGACTTAAACATTGCTCAGCAATTTATTTTTTAATCCGTTCTAGACATCCACAAAATATATGTATTTAAAAAGAAAGAGTTCTATAAATCAGCAAAATATAAAATTCAATTGATTATACCTCTATCTCATGCAAAAACACAAAATCTTAACTGAATACTCCAAGGTAATTTCAAACATTGTTTTTAAAAACTATAAAACAACCCTGTGCTAAGCACTTTACATATATTAACTCAATTACTCACAATAATCCTATGAGATAGAAATGATTGCTCGCATCTTACAGATGAGCAAACTGAATCACCAAGGAATTAATTTGCCCAAGGCCACACAATCAGTAAATGGTAGGAGCCAGGATTCTGACCCCAGCGCCAATGTTTAAATCAACTTATACCACTCATTCATTTAACAAGGTTTATTGAGAACCTACTATGTGCCAGGCACAGTTCTAAGCACTGGAATAGAGCCATGAACAAGTCAGACAAGGTCTCTGCTCTCTAGTGGGGGAGGGAGGGAGGGCCTTGGAGCAAATGGGGGAAATTGATAAATAAATGACTATTGTATATTTGCCTAGTAACAAATGCTGTGGAGAAAAATAAGGCAAAATGAAAGAATTGGAAGACAGAAGGAGGGGCTGGCTTCTACTTTAGAAATCACCTCAGATAGTCCTCCCAGGACATCTGACCAGCGAACAGAAGATGTAAAGGCAAGATAACCGCCAGGAAAAGGGGTGCCCAGCTAACTGCACAGCAAGTAAATCACCCTATGATAGGAACAGTTTGGTTTGTTCAAGAAATGGCAAAAGGACCTAGGGCAGGGGTGGGCAAACTTTTTGACTCGAGGGCCACAATGGGCTCTTAAACTGGACCGGAGGGCCGGAACAAAAGCATGGATGGAGTGTTTGTGTGAACTAATATAAATTCAAAGTAAACATCATTACATAAAAGGGTACGGTCTTTTTTTTTTTTTTTAGTTTTATTCATTTCAAAAGGGCCGGATCCGGCCCGCGGGCCGTAGTTTGCCCACGGCTGACCTAGGGACTGAGGCAAGGTGAAGAGTCACCTGCTAAGAGGTAAGGTTAGAATTAGCAGCTATCAAATATGTAATGCCCTGATAGGCTGTGGTAAGGAGTTTGGATTCAATTCTAAGGGTTATAGGAAACATGGGGAGGATTTTAAGCATGATAAAGAAAAATGATTTATGTCTTTAAAAAAAAATCACTGTTATGTGGGGATCAGTAAGACAGGGAGCAAAGCAGGACAGCAGGGAAGGCAGGCACTGTTGTGGCAGTATAAGGAAGAGAAACTGTTTATACACAGATGAGATATTAAAAGGAGAACATGAAACCTAACTGTCTCTAAAAAAGACATTTTTAAATATTTCTCCTTCCTCGCCCTGGCTGATGTGGCTCAGTTGGTTGAGCATCATCCTGTGCACCAAAGGGTAACCAATTCAATTCCCAATCAGAGCACATGCCCAGGTTGTAGATTCCAATCCTGGTCAGGTGTGTACAGGAGGCAAACGATCAGTGTTTCTCTTTCTCCCTCTCCCTTCTAAAATCAATTTAAAAAACTCACATAATTAAAAAATATATATCCCTCCTTTCACTCCCCATTCCTTACATAATTTTGAAAATCAGAGATAATCTTTTAATAGCCATGTTAATGCTTCAGATAGTGCTATTCTAGGAGAACAAAAGATTGCTATTGCCTTCATTTGTAAATGCTGTTTAATATACTGATATATAATATGCCACATGAACTCATGTAGTCTTGAGAAGCAGAAAGAGCTTTACTGCTCTTTAGTTTAGGATTCATTTATCTATTTGGAGACAAGAGGTACCTATCACCTCTTCTAATTACACTTTTCTTCTAATGCTTTGTCTCCAGCACATCCTGACTCACTCTAGATTATGAATTATAATAGAGACATTTTCCAAAGGAATCTATATTTACTGAGCTTCACTGTGTACCAGGGATTCACTAGGTGCCTTAGATTTAATTCATTTAATCCTGAGCTACCCAAGGTGGGAGTGAGGTCTTCATTCAACAAATGAGAAAAAAAAATCAGATATTAGTAACTTAAATTGTCCAAGGTCACACAGCTAATGGACAGAATCAGAATTGAAATCTACATGTAAGTCCAAAGTCTTTGTCTTTCTACTATAGCAGCTATCAAAGGAAGGACTATCAGATATATGATATGTAGCCTTCTAAACTTAACTTTTTTTAAATAGTCACCCAAGGATATGATTTTATTGATTGGGGGGGGGGGTTAAAGAAACATCGATCTGAGAAAACATCGATCAGTTGCCTCCCGAATGCACTCCAACGGAATTAAACAAGCAACTTTGGGTATGTGTCCTGACAAGGAATCGAACCCAGACTTTCAGTGCACAAGGGGACACTCCACCCAAATCAGCCACACCAGCCAGGACCCTTCCTGACTTATTATTAATGACGAGGCTGTCCCAGGTGAGGACAGGGTTTCTTCTCTTATGTAGAATCTGAGTTTTGAAGTTGGAAGTGGGAAAATGGAGTGGCCTTACATATTCAAACACACTATCTTGAAAAATTACTTTCTACTTGAAACTTCATAGAAATTAACTCCAAAAGAATGAGTCCCACCTGTTTAGGATAAAGAAAATTTAAATACGTATTTATCATAAAATAGGTGAAAAGTTCTATGACAAAAGACAGACTCTGCCCTTGAGACTGCAAGACATTGGGAGAGCCTGGCCAGTGCTGCTCAGTGGTAGAGCATCAGCACACGCACGGAAGGGTTAGTCTTGGGTTTTGGTTCCTGGTCAAGGGCATGTACCTGGGTTGCAGGTTTATCCCAGGCCTTGGTCAGGGCTTTTGGGAGGCAGGCTATCCTTGTGTCTCTTTCTCTCTCTATTTCCCCATCCCTCCCTTCCACTCTCTCTAAAAGTCAATGGAAAAAATATCCTCAGGCGAGGATTAAAAACAAACAAACAAAAAAGGCAGTCAGAGAAAAACAGAATGTGGATGAAAAGATATCAAAAGTGACAAATAGCCCTAACCTGTTTGGTTCAGTGGATAGAGTGTCGGCCTGCGGACTGAAGGGTCCCAGGTTCGATTCCAGTCAAGGGCATGTACCTTGGTTGCCGGCACATTCCCAGTATGGGGTGTGCAGGAGGCAGCTGATCGATGTTTCTCTCTCATCGATGTTTCTAACTCTCTATCCCTCTCCCTTCCTCTCTGCAAAAAACCAATAAAATATATTTTTTAAAAAGTGACAAATAAATACACTGAAAATTGAATGGAGATCATTAAAGACGGAGGATTTCGGGGGTGGGGGTGGGGGGGGGGCGGTGAGCTTGAAGAGCCCAACACAGGAAGCAGGGGGAGGGACATGCGAAGGTATTTGCACCGTAAGGCCAGGCGACCTGGGAAGGCGGAGAGGGCGAGTTCAGCAAGCAGGTGGAGGCACCCAGACGGGTTGCCGTGCGGGCCCCAGGGAGAAGCAATGTCTTGTCCTACCCTACCCCAAGGGGAAACCCCAGGACCGAGGTGGAGAAGCAGAGAGACCAGGCGGACACCAGAATTAAAACGATCACAGAAAGTCCTTCACAGTTAGGTACCAGCCCTTCATGGTAGGTGCTGGTCCATCCACATTATTTTTACCTAAAGATAACCATTTCCACCCTGGACGTGACCTGAGAAGCCTGGAAGACAGAAAGCAGACTTACACCGCCTGTAGTTTTTTTTAATAAGGGGGAGGCAATCAAGGAGTGATATATTAAGGTATTTCTTTACAAGCTGGGTTAGGTAGCGAGAGCAGTTTACTGCGGAAGGAAAGGCCCCTCTCCGTGCACACAGGGACTGACTTGTTTTGACAGGGAGTGCGAGTGTGAAAGGGGCACTTGTCTGGACAGGTAGGAGGTGCCCCACGTCTTAAGGCAACAGAGGAGGAGGAAAAACAAGTGCACAAAAGCTGTCTTCAGATATTCCGACCCGATGCTGGGACCCACTGCGGGGATGTTTGATGGAGGGGACCACCGGCAGCGACGAAGACCCGCTCGGCCCCCGCGGGCACCCCGCGCCGCTCCGCGAGCCAGCGAGCAAACGCGCGCACGAATGAATGGCGCGGCGCTGAATGGCCGGCGAGGCGCCGGCGCAGGAGAGGGAGTTTGCGGCGCGGCCGGAGCGGGGCCGGGAGGCGTCTGCGGCCCGGGGCCGGGGGCGCGGAAGGCAGGGCCGCAGCGCCAGTCGTCGCGTGCCGCCTCCGCGGGCCGCCCAGTGAGGGGCCGGCCGGCTGCGCCATGGCGGAGGCGGGGAGGGAGGTCACCGTTACATAACCCGGCGGCCGCCGCGCTACAAGCGCCCCGGGCCGCCAGGCCGCGCGGGGACTGCCGCGGTGCCCGGCCAGCGCGCCTGCCCGCCCCGCCTCAGCCGCCCGCGCTCGGCCGCCTCCGGACGGGGCTGCGGTACCTCTGGGCTGCGCGTGTCCGGTCCCGCCCTTCCCCCCATCCCGCCGCCGGCCGGGGTCGCTCACCTTCCACGTTGCCCCACACCACCATGCCCGGCGCCGCCGCCTCCTCCGGCCTCGCGGGCCCCGACGCCCCCCGCCGCCGCACAGTGCGCTTGCCGGGGCCGGGAGGAGGGCCGGGGAAGGAGTCACACCGCCGCGCCGCTCGCCCCACGCTCTCGGAGGGCGGCCCCGCGCGCTCCGCGGCAGACCCCGCCCCTCCCCCTCGGCGGGCGCGCGCCGCAGTCTCGCCCCGCCCCCTCAGGCCGGATCCTGGCTCCGCCCCCGCCCCGCCCCCTGCGGGCGGTGGCCGGCTTGTGCGCGCTGCCGGCGAGGCCCGCCCCGCCTCACCCGCACTCATTCCCGCGCGGCGCACGCGCCCGCTGCCGCCCGGCCTGGGGCGACCCCGAACGCCGGGAGCTGAGCTTGGAAGCTGGGCGACCCTCCCAGGCCCCGCCCCCTCTCACGCCGCGGGGATAGCGCCGCCGCCGCACGTGACCGTCTCCCTGGCGGGGGCGGAGAAAACGTAGCGCGGACCGGCCTTTCGCTTCGCGGAGCCCGCCCCGCACCCCATGACCTCCACGCCCCCAGCTGGGATGGCTGCTTTGGACTGGGCGCGGTTCTTCTTCAGCGAGTCTCCGCCGCCCCCTTCCGCCCCGGACGCTACTGTCCGAGAGGACACAAGTGCAAGGACTGACCATGCTTAGAACCCTGCGCTGTGTGTGCCTCCGTGGAACACCGGGTCCCCTCCACGAGCGACTGCCTTACAGTGACATCTAGCGGAGAAGGGACACAGGCACTGACACTTCCCGGCGTCGGAGCAACGGGGCCCGCATTGGTGGGTGGGAATGAACACCGCGCCCTGATTGGCTGTCAATTCCAGGCGGCACAGCGCCTTTCCCGTCCTCCCAGGTCCCGCCCTGCGTTGCGCCTGGATCTTTGTAAACCTGCGGCTGGAATCCCATCTCGCAGCACTGGCGTTACACGCGAAAGCAATTTTCTACTGATGTAAAAAGAAAAATTACACATTATGTATGATTAAATACAATTTTAATTCGAGGGCCTTCTAGCTACTCATAAGGCCCATTCCCGCCCTCTTGGCAATGTCGGTTTTCCTGGAGATCCCACGTTTCTATGATAATCTTTATTGTAATGCACAAACGTGAAGTGAAACTCCATGCAAAGGCTCAACACGTTTTCTCATTTCCTTTCCCTGAAACACCTGACGAGTTTCCAAGTACTTTGGGGGAAAAACCGGCACTCTTGAAAGCTGATCTTGCGGAGCTGGCGTTAGTTTACTAGTAATTCGGAGAATACTCAAATGACGTTTCTTTTTTCCGAGCCTTTTGTGTTTACTACTTTATAGGCTTTTAAAAATGCGCTTCAATTTCGGTGTTCTTGTCTCTCACCCAGCAAATGCAGGCTGTGTGCTTTTCTGAGACGTCATAATGTAGTACCGATTGGAGTGCTTTCCACAAGCAGAAGCAGCTGCGGACTGCACCATCAGGGTGTCATCTGCTAAAACGCCACAGAAAAACAGTGGCAAAACCTTTTTAGTTATGGTTTTTAACGGGTCTCTAAATGGCAGTATTTCCATTAACAAGGAATGGCAAAACTCGCTTTTCAAATTGAAAAAATAACTTGTGAACTCTACAGGAAATGTACCACTGTATTTCAATGTCAATTTTCTTCCCCGCTCTCCTATTCCAGTGAAAGGTATTATTTTTATGTATTTTCTCAAGGAAGAAATACAATATTAAGTTAACTGACCTTGGCAACACCTTTCTAGAAAATAAGATGATATTAACTGCACTTGAGTGCAATCTAGCAGGCGGCCTCCAATTCGAATTGTTCTCTAGATAAAATAGGATAAAAGGAGTGATGAAGAGATAAATAAAATGTATACAAACTAGAATTCTTGGCACAATTTAGCCAAAGTTTTCTTCATTTTTGCCCATTCTAGAATATTCTAGTACACGATTATACATATATATATATATATATATATATATATATATATATATATAGACAATATATTACATAATGTCTGAGGAGGCTTTTATTTCCATTTTATCCAGTTACCTGCATTCATTTGTCGACTTCCATTTATTCTCATTTATCTTTCCTAATCTAAGGGGCAGAGCTGGCCTGACCTTTAGGTAGGGCCACTGAGATGACCACTTTGGACTCCCACATTTTAGGGTGTGCTTTGGGGCACTCCACCTTATTCCTCTTTTCTGAACTTCCTTAACATCCATTTTTGAAATTTCTATCATTACTAACATCTCTAGGGGCCTATGAAACTCAGGCGGATGAGCCTTGTAGGGACTGCCCTTGGTAAGGACATGACTCTGCTATCCTTCAACCTCTGTATTGACAGTAAGTTTTCTAGGAAACATCCACCTCTAGCCTCTTAAATACCCAAAACGGAGAGCATGAAACCATTAAAGAACAGAGGCTTGTACTCGAGTTCCTTGGGCGCTATGTGCACAGTGACTCCTGTGACTGACTGACAGGAAAGGACGATCGTGCTGATTAGTATAAGGCCTTCAGCATATTATGCGGAACGATGAAATAAGGCAGAGTAAGCACAAGCCCACAGAAATTTAGAATTGGTTGGAAGCAGAATTGGTTTACCAAGACTTAATTCTTCTAAACATAGTATCTGTTATTACATCTGTTATCCACAGTAAAAAAAAAAAAAAAAAAAAGCCCATGGGCAGGTGTATATATATCTATATTTAAGCACCATAGTTCCCAAAATTTAGGACGATTCAACAAGTGGTTACAATGTGCATTCTGAATGTCAGTCACTGTCGAGTCAACGAGTCAATGGTGAACAAAATGCATGTCCTGCCCTCGGTAAGTTTCTAGTGTGGTGAGGGAGGAGGCACAGGTTCAGGGCTGCCCGCTGAAGGTGTTCTGTGGCCCACATAGAAAGATGACATCTCGGTAAGGACTGACAGACGAGTCAACCTGGCAAGGGAATGCCGCTCTCCACAGAAGGAGCACCATGTGCAAAGGCAGAGGAGGGAGGAGGACCCCATAAACTGGATGAGTGTGTTTTAGCTAAAGGCAATAAGCCATTGAAGGGTTTTAAAGGGTAAAGTGACAAGTGTGAAAGTCGCTCTGGCTGCCGCATGGAAATAGGCTGGAGAGGCAGTCAGGGGTTCTTCTAACAGTCCAGGTGCCCAGGTGCAGGCCCAGAGGAGGCAGGGGGTTAAATGTGACCAGGGTAGGGGTTCGAACATAATGAAAGAGTAAAGAGCAAGGCAGCTGAGGACATATACAAGGAAGGGATTATGTGGATTGATCATGGAACTTAAACTGAAAAGGAGGAAAAGATTTGCCAAGGGTAGGCGGGTGGGTGGGTGTCAGTGAAAAGATGGTACCTATGAGGGGGTGGGGAGCGGGGAGGAGTCAAAGGATTTTTGGAGTCAGGCACTAAAGGCTGTGGTAATAACAAGGTTGCAGAGGAAATTAGTGGTTGAGTTGGGATAGAGGCCAAGATCAGAGACAAGTTCAAGGATATGAGAGGCCAGCATGAGAGAATCTAGGTATATACTGAAATTATCGAGAGTTAAGACAGGAGTAGTGTTGGAGAACGGGTCAGTGAATCAGAACACAATTTTGATTACTCTAGGCCAGGAGGATAAATGGCATTCAATAAGCTCAACTCCAATAGAGAGATGGTCCTAGGACAGAGGTTCCCAAACCTTCTCTGTTCACAGCATCCTTAGATCTGTCATTTTTTCCACAGTATCCCTAGGCCATAAGTAATACTTAATAGTTTTGTTTGTCAAGTAAGTAGGGCCAAATAACCTAATAAGTACTTGTGACCTAACAACTTAATAGGCATTTAAAAGAAAGTAATACAAATAAAGTGAAAGCAAAAATAATATGTCAATTTTATTTTTAATAACCATCATTACTATGGGACCTATGTGTCCATTGAGCAATGTAAAACTTTTCAAGCCATGGGACCACATTGGATACTGCCACCCTCATTTCCCATTCCGCGCTGGCAAGAATATTTCATGCTTATTGCTATCTACTTCATATTCCATTAAAAGAGGAGGTCCAGGAGGTCCCACGGTGATACTAAGGTAAGTCACCTGGCGAGGTGCATTGTAAAACTAACTGCATTTCCCCATGCAAGCTGCAGTGGTACTTTTCACCAAGTGAATATTCTCTTCAGCAAACTTTTTACCCAGTGGTTTCAGCATCCACTGATGATCCTGGACTGAATAAATTATTTCACTAGTTTGCAAAGGAGCAATTTTCTAATTCCATCATTCTCTCCACATTATTATTAGCAGGCATTTTTCTTCAGAGAAGAACTATTTCTTATAAACTGGGAATAAACTATCATTTCTCCTTAAAAAGCAGAGCAAATGCTTAATTTTTTCCCAATAGCTACTAATTTTCATAGAAAAGTGTTGTCTAAAAATTACCTCCAATGGTGGTAAGTTTTTTCTTGAAAATTCTAATGAACTCATAAATTTTATTTATTGCAATCTTTCCATTGATTATATTCATTCTTTTTGATGCACAAATTGTTCCAGATTTGGCCAGTCGTAGTCCCTTTAAGTCAGTACCTATGTCCTTTAACACACATCTGTCAATTGTTCAAAGGTTTTTTAAAAAATATAGTAAGACAACCATTATTATTATTATTATTGTCATTATTATTATTATTATTATGCTATTCTTGCTTGCTAATTTTTCCATGTGAGGATCAATCCTGTGATATCATTTGCTTTTGTCTCTAGGTCTTCTTTATATTCCTGGTGTTCTGGAATTTCACAATTATATACTGTAGTGTGGTGCTTTTTCTATTCATTATGTTGGGCACTTCACTGACCCTTTTAGTCTAGAAGTACTTGTATTCATCTATTTTGAAAGGTTTTCTTGTACTATTTCTTTAATAATTTATTTCTTTAAATATGCTCTCCTACACCACCACACCCCCCCCCCAAAAAAAAAAATAGAAAAGAAGACAAAATAAGCTCAAAGTTAGCAGAAGGAAGGAACTAACAAAGGTCAGGATAGAACAAATGAAATAGAGGTTGTAAAAAATAGAACAAAATGGCCCTAACTGGTTTGGCTCAGTGGGTAGAGCACTGGCCTGTGGACTCAAGGGTCCCAGGTTCGATTCCGA